ATCTTATGTCTTAGGTTTCTCACTGGTTCTGTCTCATTGACCTTGTTGAAATTAGTAGATATTCCTTGTTTGATACTTGGTCAGGTGAAGTGAACCATGTTATTTCATTATCTTTTATTCTCTTCCATTTTCGTGCCTAACAAATAATGTCAGAGCCTGGTTAGGATATGTATATCGAAAAAAAACGATAAAATGTTATTCAATCTACTTGACCTACTTTGACCAGAATATCCACTGCATTCTAATCCAGTACAACAAGAAAACTGTGATAACTCTGATGCTATTGAATCCCACTCACAACTCCTTAGGATAAAACAAGCTGTTAGTTTCTCGCTGTCAGTGCTGTCTCATTATCTGGTTATAGTTGGAATATAGCAGATATTTTCATGGATGTAAATCAAGTGGACTGAACCACATTATCTCATTTTGTTTTTTCCTTTCATTTTTGCACAAATCCCTAACATTGTGTGACCTCATCTATATTTCTACATAATTAGAGATATAACAAGCATTTGCTCGGTTGTTTTGGTCTTTCAGGTCCTCAAAGGGATGTGCTTTATGAATAATCAGATTTTCAGAAAGCACATGAGAGAGTTCTATCCTTTGCTCACTAAACTTGTTTGCTGTGACCAGGTAAAATTTCCTTCTTCAATTGGGAAAGGCTTCTAACTGGAATTTTCATCTGTAGTAATTTTTAACTTCTGGGACCTTGTTTGGACTTAACTGGAAAGTCAATTTGGATATCCCTGTTGCCAAATATATTTGCTGGTTGTTTCCTCTTCAAACCCATTATCTTCTCTCTACTATGTTGATTTCTTGGTTTCTATGTGGTTGAATGTACCTGAGAAGTACATGGTTGTTTGTGCTTAAAAGGGCAATGTTTGGAACAAATTTGGAAATTTTGTAGGATTCATATATAAATTTACACTTAATTCAAGTAGAAAATAATATAAATATTTTTTCTATGAAATTCTATGTGCCAAATTCCATTAATTTTGATGGAATCTCAAATTCATTGTTCCTGTTCCATTTTATACAAGGTCAACGACAATTTTCATAAATTTTATAGTTGAATGTGAATTTAAAAATTAATTCTATAAAAACTTGATTCATTCCAAAGAGATTCTAAAATAAGCTTAAACAGTTTGTGGATTCGATAAGGTTTTACTGTTTATACTCATAGGTATTATCATGTTCCACAGGACTGCATTATTTTAAATGCAGTAGATGCTTGTTGCTACTTTATGAATTTGATTTTGTATTCTCAGAGGAGTAGCTGACAATCTTTTGGCTTGTTCAGATGGATATTCGCGGAGCACTTGCTGATCTTTTTAGGATGCAATTGAAACCTTTGTTACCATATTAGTCATTTCAACTCGCTTTCAAGGGGATGATTTTTGGCAATGCTTTAACTTGAGGCTGGAGCCTTGTTCTTGTGTGCCAGGTTTTTGTGCTCATTAGCTCCCAACATTTCGTTTGCACCCAGATTCCTCCAGCGTATCTTTCGGTATTCTTCTTATTTAGGATTAGATATAGATTAAAGCAAAATAGAATTAGAATATATTTGAAGACCAATTGATGTTTTCTGTGATGTCCATTTTGTTATTACAATGGGAAGTTGCTTTAGAGGTGTTCACAGATCTTCCTGTGACTGCGAGGGCATAACCATTTATTGTACCAAAATTTTCCTTATAATGAAAACTGTCGATTATTTGGTAATTTTAATCATACGCGTGATGTTTTGGGACGCAGCACAGGGATTATAAAAAAAGAGCTAAGCCGAAAATCTTGGGGATTTGGATTTGCTCGTTTCAATTTTGTCAGGTCTTAGTTTGGTTTGAAACTTATATTCAATTTCATTTTAGGCTTATGTTTGGTTTTGTTTAAAGAAATACGAAGTTTAGATAGTTTAAGAAAGTCAAATAAACAGCAGAATCCAGCTCTAAAGTGCGAGTTTGATTATTTAGACCTAAACTAACCCTAAATGAGGAATTTGTTCATAAAATATTTGTAAGAAATAAGTAAAAATATTAGTATTTAATACATATGAAAATATAAAAAGATAATACAGTTAAAACTGAAATATTAATATATTTTTAAAATATATGATAATTATATATATTGAGACAAAAATGTATGATTAATAATAATAATAATTAATAAATAAATATTTATTGAGTTCGAATCTGTCCACGAGGTTTTCTTTTTTTTTTTTTTGTGTGGTTTGAATAAGATTTTGATATGAGCTATATCAGTCACGATGTAATGAGCACGATTGATTTGTCTGTCTAATTTGTATATAAATGATTCATTTGAGCAACGAAGACCTGTTGAGATCTGACACAACCATTCTTGCACTTGTAATAAAGTATTACAATGGAAAGTAGAGTATATCTTCTATATTATATTCACAACTTTCCAGTTAATTACGCAGGAATTTACATTAAAATATTATATAACTTTTTAATTTTTTTTTTAATTTATATTTTATAGAAATATTACATTTTTAAGTAATCAAATGTAGATGAAAGAGTGGAGTGAGTATCCTTTCTGCATCTCTTTTGCCTTATTCTTAAGTGTCCCGGTGGAAGTGGTGAGAAAACAATTCGGTAAGACATCAAACTTGATATCCATCTCTCTTTAACCAATGAGTGTAACGGCTCCAAAAATTAAAAGAAAATATATATATATTTATTTATTTTAAGTGCGAAAGCGAAATAAAATAGATTATGATTAACATCTCTTTCACAATAACCAAAACGAATTAAAGTACGAAAGAATAAAGTAACTTAAAGGAAATATTATGAATGAATGCTGTAAGGAAAACTAATAAATTCTTTGGCTTCTACTCGTCGTCTTCCTGCAGAACGGGTTCGGGAACCAAATCCTCCTGATCTGAAATAGTTAAGTAAAGAATGAGTTACATTAGCCCAGTAAAGACATCACACTATCTCACTGTCACAGAAGTAAAAGTTGGTAGAAAACGAAAACGACCAATGGAGCATAATTTATAATAAACTCATTTATCAATAATAAAATCATTTACTGTCCGCCTACCTCGGTGAGATTCATGAAAATAATTTATGAAAATAATTACATCATAAATATCATAAGATCACGCACACTCTACAACATAACACATATCATGCTTTTGTATTTCAATCATCAGGCAACAATTTTCCTTTTTTTTCAGCCTATTAGTATCCATATGGATCCATAGAGAGTCCCCGCTACACGTGAACCATTCACATTAATAACTTAATTCAAAGGCTGTCCCTATACCCCGTCCGGTATGGGCACCAAAACCATAAACCTCAATACCCCGTCTGGTATGAGGGAGAAACGGACCGTCTCCATACCCTGTCCAGTATGGGCACCGAAACACATAAAGTCTCTATACCCCGTCCGATATGAGAGACCACATTCCCGGTTGGGTTCCCTATGGACCCGGTCCGTCCACCATCTCCTAAGATATCTAGTCAGGTTGTCGACATTATCTATTATCAATTCACATACTTTTTTACCATTTTTCTTAATCTTAATTATCCAATCAAACATAAATACATAAACCAGTAATGGACACCAAACAAGGCAACACAACATCGGGTTCACAATAATTCAAAATATAATAAATGAAACCGTGATTCATGCATACGAAACTATAAAATAAACACATCAGGCACCATACTGTATTCAAAACTGCAAAATAAATCAAACAACACCTGACCGAAAATATATCAGATTCGAACTCCATTAGTAACCTTAATCAATTATACATATCTATTAATTCATAAAATACCATTTTATCATTTATTATACTTTAATGCCGTGATAAGAAATAGGGTGAGAGATCCTTACTTATTTTGGAGTCTGAAATTGGGTTCTCACTGCGCCTACAGACAGTCCCTAAATTCTCTGAATTTTTTTCCAGAAACTGAAACACGCTTCCGGTACCTACACATGTCCCCAAAAAATCCCAAATAAGACCTAGAGCCCTTTCGGCCAATTTCAGAATTTCGGTATGGCGGCTCCGCCGTGCCCCGGCGACGGCACCATCGCCCACGGCAGCGATCCGCATCGAGTTGGCTGTTTTCGGCCGAATTCGGCCAAACTTGCATTGGTTCCTGTGATAAAACACCCCTAGGGCCCTCAGTGGGCCAAAAAATTCCAGAAAACCGAGACTTGCTGGCGGCGAAGCTCTCGGGTGCGGCGGCTCCTCCGGCGCGAGTTGCGATTTGGTGTTTTGCTCCGGTCAACCTGTAGAGAAAATGACGGTGGTCACAGTGGTATAAAAATTACATCGAACGGGAATCGGGAAGGGCCTCATCGGAGGCAAAAATCGAGAAAACCCGCGGCGGCGCCGCTGGACTTCGGTGGTGTTTTCTGGCCAATTGGCCGGTAGTTTGGCTCCGATTTGGCCACAAGGAGGTTCAGCATCGAAAAACGAGCTAAGGGGAGAAATTTTACCTCGTTTGGCGGCCAGAAAATCCTCCAGTGCAGCGGCAGGTGGCAGCGGCCAATTCTTCCGGTGGCTGGGTCGTCTTCTCCGGCGAGGGTTCTAGCAGCTAGGGTTTGGGGTTGGGTGTGGATACGATTATTTATAACCTTCCCCTTTTAATCTGAGTCATCCATCATGATTTAATCTGAGCTGTCCGATCGCAATTAAATTAGAAATAAATCTGAGCCGTCCATCGCGATGCGATCTGGGCCATCTGTGCATGATCAAATATGGGCTGTTCGCATGCGTGAGATCTGGGCCGTCCATCACGCTTTTGATCTGAGTCGTCCGTGCGCGCGGAAACGAATTTGAACCGTCCGATCGCGCGCATGCGGGTCGCCCACGTGTCTCCGTCCCGCGTGGCTTTCCACGTCAGCATCCCTGCTACACGGCGTGTCTTGGTTGGCGGGGGCTGCTGACCGGGCTGCTAACGCGGCTGCTGACGTGGCACTATTTTTTTAAATTACGTTTTGACTCCCCCGATTTTTGATTTTCCTTTTAAAAACACCCACATAATCCAAATTTTCACTCATTTTTTCCGAAATCAATTCCAATTAAATCTCAAAAATAATTTTACCCTATTTTATTATTATTTTTATTTTTATTTCTATTAAATTAAATTAAATTAAATTAAAATCTTATAAATTAAATATTAAAATAGAATAAAATTAAATAAAATTTTAATAAAAATTAAAATAGAATAAGAATTTTGGATGTTACAATGAGTATCCTTAAAACTTCCCTAACTTTACAAAAATTATCAATTGACAATTATTGCTGTACATCATAATGTCTCCTTCACATTCTTTTTGAGCCACTGCTGTAAAAACTAACAAATAAACACATCAACGGCCTAAAATGGTATCATCAGAAGCTTCACAATTTACAGTTTACCCCTCCTTTATATAAACCATTTTCTTATGTTGGTGATTCGGTGACTGGAATCGAACCTTAATTATATCTGCAGCTATCATGCAGGACTACTCGGGCTCTTGCCCTCCCGCAGGAAAAGGAAGCGAAACCTGGTATCAAAAGGTAGGACAGAAAAGCTTCTGGCACCAAGAAGCTTCCACTTGTGAGCGGCTGAACAAGTTCTGACAATGGCAGCTTGCTCTGGAGAAAGATATTGGCTGATCCAAGCTGGCACCATAGACTCGTCTACGACACCTTTGGCAAAACAATACAATAACTTTGGCACCAAGAGTTTTCCTTTATCACTAATGCCAACAGAGGCTTGGACGTAGTCTTGCAACGAACTTTTAAGCAAATCACTCACATTTTCGGGCCTGAAGATCCTCACCTGAGTGCATGATCACATAAGAACTAACGTAAGTATGACATTCTTAGTGAATGTCATCTTTGTGTTGAATGATTATATCATTAACAAAATTTCATTTGTATAAACGAAAAGGTCATAGCAATATTAAGATTTTCAACAGTCACTCCCTGAATCAAAGCAGCTGAAATGCTCTGTAACTATCCTTATAGCATTTAGATACATAGATGTATTCTTGTGACCTAGATATATAGACTCTGTCCGGAAGTTAATAGGAAAGAAAAAGGAAGGACTGTGGCAAAAGGAAACAAAGAAGAAAAGAAAGAACTTCTCTGTTTTATTAATGAGATGAAAATATTGGATTTTTTTTTTTTGAATAACCACAAAATAGTATAATCATAGTGTAACATGTATATTTTGCATTAGAATACTTCAAGTACTTGATATATGTAAAAAATAAAAAGTAAAAATATATAATAGCATTTACATTTGACAGATCTGATAAAGAATAATTTACTATTTATAACAAATAAAAGCTACAACTTTATTTTCTTTTACTTCCATTTACGCAAATTTAGAGGAAGATTGAAAAAATACATTTAATAAACTCGCACCTTCACTAGGAAGAAAAATACTTTCCACATTCAAACATAATTCAAGGTAAGGGAAGTAAGGCGGCACTGCTGCACCTTCACCAGAATTTCAAGGAGTAACTAACTAACTATACACAAACTTGGTATCAACTATCCATATAATGATATCTTAATTCTAACATTATGGAGCTTATTCAGTTTGAAAGCCTAGTATTAAACAATTAGAAACAATAAGTAGAATGGAAGTTTTTATGGGAAGTTTTTAAAGTCCAATTTTAATTTTGAAGATACATCAATTTGTTTCTCAGAGATGCTATAGTTATTAAATGAAGAGACCAAAGAATCCTTACCGCAGGAGAAGAATGCATCCCGCAACTTAGAGCAAATGATAAGAGAGGCTCAGGATGATCAATTGAATACTGTTTCTGCTCCTCAGATATCTTGAACTTCTGAAGAGCAAGAATTACTGCCTGATAATTAAAATATTACAAGTAAGAGACACTTTTCTTCAGAAAAGAAGGCTCCACATGGTACCAAAACAAGAAAAAAAAAAAGATTCTAACCTCCCGCCCTCCCTCTCACCCTTGTGAAGCAGCCAGGAAAAAGAAAAAGATTCCTCAATTGGGAAAAAAAAGGATTTCTCAATTGGAACCAAAAGAAAAGAAGGATAATAAGATCCAGAGAATAACTAGAAAGGGAACCCCAATCTATGGCATTCTTGCAGGCTGGTGTACCAGCCTTCAGGCTTCAGCCTTCAATTATGCTAAGGAGCAGAGCTTGTTGTTAGAAAGGCCAAACATCATATCAGCAGGTGTTTCAGCATTTTTCTTCTCCTTTTTTCTCCTTATTTTCAGCCAGCTGAGTTGAGTGGTGCGTCCCTAAATTAAGATTTGGATAACCAAAACAATAATGAAGACTGGAAGGGACCACGCCCCAACATCCCCTTCCCCCACACTGTACAGACAAACACCCCAGTCCCACACTTTTATTTGCTATATGTATAATATGTAGAGATATGTAAAGCATACACAAAACACATTTTCATGAATTATTCTATAAAATGTTAATACAGAATTAAATTTTCAAAAGCGAAATTGCACACTATAAAAAAAAAAACTTCTAAGACCCATTTATTTTTAGTAAAAAGTTAAATGAGTCATCACTACATTATTTAAAAACTATAACTACAAATTATAAATAACTAATTAATGTTTCAATGAGTTAAGCATGTAATATACTATATTAGATTTTATTATATTTAGCCTTAGTCATTAGTTTATTAATAATAGCATCCTCGGTATAAAATTTCCTTAAGTACCTTTATGTTGGAGCTGAATTTTTGATATTTTATGAATACAATCCTTTCTTAAATTTTCATCTACAATAGTAACGAGTTTGTATATATAAATATCTATAATTTCATGCATAGATAATAAATTTGCAAGAAAACATATTCGAATGGCTTCGCTAAAATGATATAAGGGCAATTATTTATTATTCACTAGATGAGTATGAGAATAAATAATAGAAAGAAGATAGTTTTCTTTGTTTTGTGTGTTTTTCATGGATTATGGGTAAGCCAGTTTTTTTATTGTAAACTATGTTCGTATATAATAATAATCATATATTCACCTTTCAAAAACATATATCTGTGGTAGCTAAAAAAACACAACAAATCTTGGCTCCATCATTGTTGGTGTCACATCAAATAGACTTCAGATCAACAAGCTGGCATCCAGAATCTCTAAGGTTGATCTTTTATAAGCTAAGGGTAGAAGGTAAACCATGCATGTGAACCGATGCATATTTATGTGAACTATAGCAGGTGGAAGGAAAAAACATGCATGTAACTAAATAATTGATCCATACTATTTGTGGCCGATGGGCAGGTGGCTTCATTTTCAGAATGATGTATTCAATATATGCAGCACTGAGTGACTGCCCTCCAATGGTGTAAGCAGCCTGCAAGATTTGTACCATGCTAATCAGCTTAATTTCAACAAGTAGAATAAAGAACCAGGAGAGAGATTGGAGAAATCCAGTGAAACTATAATCTCCGACCTTCTGCATTAAGGAGAACAATTTCATATCACTTTTGGGAACTCCATATGCTAGATATCCCTGAATAAACGGAGATGTGAGACTTATGGATACAATCAGAAACATGAAAGCAGAAGATAACATAACTGAAGGTACTTAATGCACTGTTAAAAAAAGTTGAAAAAGAAGAGCAGAAACAAATTACATGCATGATCAAAGCATTGTATAAATTTATCCAAAATGCCAGCTTCTCATTGCAGCTCATGCAAGATGGATTCACGCTGGCCAGCTGCTCAACGAGCATTCTGTATAGGACACAATAGGAATTATAAGGGAAAACAAAAAAAAAAAGCAATAAATTTAAAGCTTCTTCTCCAGAAAGCAATTCCAGATATTTTGCTTTCACTAAAAGTCATTTGGTATATGCCATTCTGCTAAACTTAACATTATCAACACTAAATCAGAACAAGGATGAGCAAATTCACCCTCCGGAGGAAGCAAAAATGAGGACAAATTCAAAATGCTCAATGCTTACCAAATAACTGACTTTAAATAGATATGAATAACATACCTGAATCTTTTCAAAGCAATGGCAGCATATTCAAGTTCTTTCTTCCCAACAGAAAACCATGCCACTTCAACTGCTGCACTGTAGGGTCCAATGCTTTTTGTCCATTCCAACTTACCAGGAACTTTATAAGGATCAGACAAGGTATCTCTTATAATGATCTCAGAATCATGATCAGTCTCAAGTGACGGACTCCTTCCTAGGGAAGTCAGAGCAGGTGAGTCTAAGAAAGATGTCAAAGACGAATAGGAGAGGTGCCCCTGAGGTGAACAAGGTGAAGCTATATGCTCAGAAGAGGTCTTGGAAGGATCTGCCAAAAAGAGAAAAATATCTCTCATACAGCAAACCATTTCTTCAGAGAGCTGATTCGGATGGTTCCAAAGGTTCTCAACTAAATAGCCATTAGCTGGCACTTCTTTCATATCTAGCCCTAGAGGCAAATTATCAATTGTTGCTTGTTTTTCCTCTCTTCTGCAAGGTTCCATTATCTGCAATAAACCACTGATAATTAGCTTATTTGTTTTTACCCGTGCACAGAGACACAATCTGTATAAGAATGAATATTAACAGCAAAGAATAATAAACTAATAAATGAACCTCAGACCAGGTCAACTTGAAAAAGATAAATGTATATATAAATATATATATATATATCAACCCAGAGCTGCTTGACTTGATAATGGTTTAATAAATGCTTGAAGATAAAGTTGATGGAGTATTAAAAACCAAGCAG